TTACATTTTTATTATAATAAACTCCGAAAGATATAATTAATTATCATACCTGATCGTATAGAGCGCCGACGTTGCAGTCAATACGATATCTATGTTGAATTAAAGTTAAAATTCAGATTATTATATTAAATTAGTAAAATAATAAAACATAAACCTTCTGCTTACCTTTAAAACTCCGTTTATAACCCATAAACATCAAAGAACTGCTATTAACAGTATCTCCACGAAACTTATTTGGGCCAAACCAGATGTGATACAGAAATTAGTATTATCCAACACTGATATAAAAATCATTTAATTGACAAGAATTTTATATTATATTTACAATCATATAAATCGTAGTTATTAACGGCAGTTGCTAAAGCTCACTCCTCGTGAAAAATCGCCCTTGCCCGGTTAATATCAACTAAATTAAAATATTAAAAAATAAAAGTCTGATTATATTAACTTAAAATAAAAATAGTTAGTTTTATTACAATTCTACAATATTTTTGTAACTAGCTTATGCTACGTTATTAGTAAATAAATAAATTCTTTCATTATAAATTTGAAATTTCTGTACTACATGTACGCATTTGACTCGCTATTCATCAGATAAAGAATGGTAACATTTGTTTTCAACTGCATCGTCTTGAGGTTTATATTCAAGATCTATAAAAAACAAAAATAATAAATTAGATTTTTAATCTGCATATTGCGCGCAAAGCTTGGCGTGACATCAACATGCTTTGGCACATTATTATACTAAATTGTTGCTAACCCTTATATTCAAACATATTATCCTACTTAACCATCATTTTCATTCGTAGTCAACATCAGATAAATCATCCAAAGATTCTTCATAAGCACTATTATAAAATGCAACAGGAATCGAAGGTGAGTTTCTTGACTATCCATCCATTTTGAAATAAAGAAAATAAAAGAAATTTGATTGCAAAGAAAAAGATTTTTTTAGGGAGTGAGAAAAAAAGAGTATAACCAGGTAATACAAAACCATTCAATGAATTTTGATAATAATGTTCAAAACATAAATGATAACATTGGGTTTAAATATTTTAGATTTTATTCATTTAATTAATGCAATAATAAATATTATACGGAATATTTGTGTGTGAGACGAATTTACTAATCATTTTGGCTTAGGTTTATTATGTCTTCGAAATTAGAATATTCAAAAAAAAATTTTTTTTTTTTAGTGCATTTATAAAATTGATAATTCTGGTGTAGCAAGCCATACCATTTTGACACCATAAAATGTTGTGAAAAATTTTGATTATGAACTGGGATTTCGCGTATTTAAATTATTAGGTTTAAAGCCACTCATTCCAAAAAAATTCCGATCGTGTTATTTAGCACCTAATCTATAATATAAAAATTCAAACAATACCTTACTTAATGAAATTAACTAAATTAGGCCTTTTGCAAAAAATTTAGGCGTATTTCAATAACTTCTATGAAATATCAATTTTCATGTTAACAAATGAATAAATGCTATCTGGCTGGAAATTGAGGTTTTGCTTATTACGGTGACTTATTTGTTGATGAAAATTTAGCAGTACACGAAGAATAATTGGTGATAATGATCTTAACATTAAAATTAAATTTGAACCGATTTTTATTCAGCCAAAAACAAGTAAGTTACTGTAGATAGTTTTAAAACTCGGTTGTACCGAAACAGAAATTTAACATCTTTACAACGCGAAAAAGATGTCCTTCTTATTTCTCACCTCATTTTTTTCATATTACAAATTAAAAAAAAAAGTGACTTACATTAATACCATATATCAAAAAAAAATTCTCATTACACGTTTTATCGTATAATATATATACTTTTATTATTTTTCCCAACGAATATTCTTTCAAGAAAAATGCAAGTGAATCTTAAGATTATTTCTTGTAACTGCTAATATATTTCTTGTAGAATTATTATTTTTAATGGTTTCTTTATCACTTGAGCAAGTCGCAAAAAAAATAGCTTTATTAATAAAATTAAGTTTATAGAAGATTTAAAGTATCAAATATAAAACGACATGGTAATATATATCAGATATAAATTACAAAAACGAATAATTAATCTTCTAGGTTATATTTAAAAGTAGTCTTGAAAATTTGTCCGGTCAATTTGTTCTTTGAAGTTGCAACAAATTCCATTTGTCCAAATGTTAATCCAAATAAAACAGGTCTATTAAGACCTGAGCCAGGGAGATCTACGTGAAGTTTTCCTAAAAATTTCATGCCGGGATCATCACAGTATTTTCCATCATATTCTCGAGTATAATAAATACTATGGGCTACTTTTTTTTGATCAGGATAAATGGGCACTCGAGAACTCGTAACCTCTTGATTAACATCCATTTTAACACCACGTCGAGCCAAGCAGGAGAATTTGGAGATATATCCATCATGGGTCTTTCTATTGACTGGATCTCCAATTACCTAATAATAAGGGATTTTTATTTTTTTTAATTTATTTTATTTTAGGAATAATGTAATAAATTTAGTATAAAAAATTTACCCATTTAGTTGTTGACTTAATTCCATAAGTATATTTTAGGATTCTTGAAGAAATAACACATTTCAAATTATCATCATTCCCTATATTATTCAGATTATTGGATCTTATAGATAATCCATAAATTGCGGCTCCACGTGCAATTGCTGCCATAGGTTGAATAGGAACAGAAATATTCTTTACTCGATGAAGAAATTCTTCTTTAATTCTTTTTTGTAGATATTTGGATTCACTAAAGCCTCCAACTAAGAACATTGCAGAGCAAGTTTCTTGTGCGTTATCAAGTTGAGCTTTTATCATAAGAAGAATTTTTTGGATGACAGGTTCAAATATCAATTTCATGGTTTCAAAATCAATTTCAACTATCCAGTCGGATTTATCTAAAGCTTTTTTGACATTCTCATCAGTGATATATTGTTTTAGTTCAGGGATAGTATCCCGAATATCCAACTCGTACAGAAAACTTGGATAAAAGGAATTTTGCCAGATTTACACTATTGTTGAACCAGCATTCGTCCATAATTTTTCTCTTTGAGTGAATCCATAGGTTTGTTTCCAACTTTTTTTCGCATGTATTTAAGAAATTCATTATCAACGAAGTGCTTCCGCAAAAATCACCGGCTCTTTCGGTTACCTCTCTCAATTGTTTATTTACGCGTCGTCAAATCTACTGTGCTACTGCCACAGTCGACGATCATGAAATTAACTTACTGTATTGTATATGTGATGAACCATGAGTCAATATATATTATTAAGCAAAGATAATAAATGAATTTTATTTTAAAACATACTTCCTAGTTGTGCAAGACCATGTTCACTCAGACTATTTTTCATACAAAATACAGCCGCAGCTTCAGCTTCAATAAAAAAAAAAACAAGAAAAAAATTTAAACGCATTTAAATACAATTATATTAATTTTATATCAAAGATAACTTACGTTCCGTAGCGAATTGCAAGCTTTCGAACATTCATCTTTAGTTAACACACATTCTCATAATAGCTTTTATCTTATCGGAAAATTCTGCAGGAACGGTAAGAACCAAAAGAACGTGTTTAAAGAAATCAATTTTTGGCCATCGAATTGCTACCGTCTCTTTAATTTATCTTTTTTTTTCAAAAAAACAAAATGGATTATATGTGAAAATATAAATACAAATTAATTAATTAATCGCCTTTTTATATTCAACTGGAAGTTTCGGTTTAAAATTATCTTATACATTTTCCAAATATAACTTGAACAATTCGACCGATTTATTTTCATTATTTCGATTTTTATCTCGACGATTTGGCTTCTTAACTAAAGCCGGTGCGCCCATGACTTTACATTATTATATTCATCGTCATATTGAAGAATTGTGTTGGTTTTAATTGACCTACTTCTCCATGCCATAAATCGTTTGAACATAGATGTTTCTCTTCTTTAATATGTAAACCCAGAGAAGGTTGTACCAAAGTCGAATCCAATCACGACGCGGATTCTATCCGGAGCTCTCATGTATAGAGATTTCTTCTTTTTTTTCGGACCTTAAAATATATGAAAAAATTACTTTTGATTAATTAATCCAAATGATATTTCTGATAATCATACATACTTTTCTTAAATTTGCTCCATGTACGTTTTTACTTATTACATTAGCATTAATTCAAAACCAAATGATGTTAAAATTATATAGAATTTATCAAGTCGGAGGCTTATTTTATCTTTTAATGCTTTATTAAGAACTTTATAATTAGAAAAAAGAATATAATTTCATTGATTCTATGAACTGAATTAGAGTGATCATATCGAACAACAAAGAACAAAGAATTACAGTGTTTATTTTTTAGCAAAGATTCTTTATCGTTATATAAAATAATCCTTTTAATAATACCAAATAAATTTAAATTTTATCATTTAGACCAAAATTCATTATTTTGCATTATAATTTTTTCAACTTTTGACCAAACTTATTTAGGATACGTGCATATTGCTTAAATGTGCGACACCTGTTATTTCTAATACACAAAATAAATGTACGATAAGCATATTCAAGGATAAAATTTATTACGTGAAATAGCGAAATTAAATGTCAAATAAAATTTATTAAAACATTTAGTATATATAATATATATAACAAGAAGAAAAATAATGATACGATAACACTTCCATTAAATATAGATGTCAAAAAAAAAATCTAATCATCCAAGCTAAACTTAAAAGTGGTTCTATAACTTTGTCCATTAAGTTTGTTCTTTGAAGTAGCGATAATTTCCATTTGTCCAAACGTTAACCCAAATAATACAGGTCTATCACGACCTGAACCAGGAAGGTCGATTCGAAGTTTGCCTATGAGTTTCATTCCAGGATCATCACAGTATTTTCCATTATACTCTCGAGTATAATATACGCTAAAAAGTATTGCTGTTTGATTAGGATAAATTGGATGATATGTCCTCGTAACTTCTTGATTAACTTCCATTTTAGTACCACGTTTAGCCAAGCAATCGTACTTTTCAATATATCCATCACTGGTCTTTCTGTTGACCGGATCGCCGTTTACCTAATAAAAACGTGATTTTTATTTTTAATTTTCTTTTCTTTAGGAAAATAAGTGATCCATATTTAGTTAGTATCGAAAGAACATACCCATACAGAATGTACTTTAATTCCATAAGTATATTTAAGGATCCTTGAAGAAATGATACATTTCAAATTATCATCATTCCCTATATTATTCAGGTTATTGGATCTTATAGATAATCCATAAATTGCGGCTCCACGTGCAATTGCTGCCATAGGTTG